TTAGTAACATTTTGACAAATTCTGATGGTCCGGCGTGATTGACTGTACATTGAAGGTATCGTGGGAGCTAGAGAGACAGCATAATTGATAAAAGCACCTGCTTTGCAGGCATGGGGATCTGAGGACCTGAGTTTGAACCCCAAACACCCACATGCAAAGCTGGACATGGGAGCTGGAGAGATGGCTCAGTGGTTAAAAGCATTGGCTGCTCTTCCAGAAGACCCAGGTTTCAGTCCCAGCACCCACATGGTAGCTCACAACTGTAAACTCCAATACCCAAGGATCCAATGCCCTCTTCGGACCTCTGTGGACACCAGACAATCATGTGGTACACAGACTTACTTGCGTGCAAACCCTCATACACATTAGATAATAAAATATTTTTTTTCAAAAGCTGAACATGGCTGCACATGCCTGTAACACCAGTGTTGTTTGGGGTCCAGACAGGTAGATCCTGAGAGCTCTGTGGCCGGCCAGCCTAGCCAAAAAGGCAAGCTTCCAGCTCAGCAAGAGACTGTTCCCAGCAATAAGATGGAGAGCGATAGAAGAAGACACCCAAATCTTGTCCTGGCCTTTACACACATAGATGGTCACACACTCAAATACATGTATGCATAGACACAACACAATACACAAATTCAAAAAGAGTCTGGGAAGGCTTCCTGGGTGAGGTGACTTCTGATTTTGGTTTTGAAGAATGAGTAAGGCTCATGTGACTGGAGACTAGAACCAAGGCTTCAGGACAAATGAATAACATGGAACCCAGCAAGCAAGGCTTGCCAGATGTGGCCTCAACCAAGGACTTGGCATCTTTGGGGTGCCTGGACAACTTTGAGATTCTCTCCCAAGTGTATGAGGCCAAATTCAGGGTTCTGGACCACATATGAAGACGAAGCTGAGCAGTCATACCTGTTCAACTGACCTGTCCCTTCAAGACCCCAGAGCAGGGACAGTGGCTACTTTGGCAGAAGGCAGCAGCCCTCATCTTTGAAGGCATTATGCTAACTGGGTCAGAACCCCCGGCAAGGGAAGGACAGTGAACATTCTTCAGTACTCAGCCAGGCACCAGAACAGAGCCACCCGAGAGAAATCTAACAGGATCCATGCATGTGGTTTTAAACCTCTGATAACCACCTCATAAAAGCAAAAAGAAGCAGGTGATGGTAATGACATACTTTTAGTTCGCTCAGCACATGAAAAACATTATCAGCTCGACACATAATAAATCCCAAGGAATTATTCCTGAGCTCTCTTGTGTTCTCTTTTCCATACAAAATCATCAAAATCCAGTATGCATCTCACCGACACAGTTCCTGAGACTCCATGGCCACCATATGGGACACAGAAACCATGTCTCACCTCTACTACTGAGTTCAGAGATACAGTCTCCTGTATCTCTGATACAGTGAACGCTCTCAGCCCACACATCTGGGAATCAGGCAAGAGTTCTGGGCGGGTCCACGGTGTCTGAGGATGCCATGGATGTTTGTCCTTGTAGTAAGATGTTTAATCTCTCTGCCTCAGTTTCCCTCTGTGTGTGTGTGTGAGAGAGAGAGAGAGGGGGGGGGAGAGGGAGAGGGAGAGGGAGGGAGCAAAAGAGGGAGACAGACAGAGAGTGCCTTGGCCTTTAATGGCTGGGCTAGCTCATCCCTCCCTTGTTTTGAGGCAGCCTCTCTCTGGCCCAGGGCTCACTGGTTAGCTAGGCTGGCTGCCCATGAGCCTCAGTGAGGGACCAGCCTAACTTCATCTCCCTAGGATTGGGATCATGAGCACGTGCCACTGGCCTGGTTTATGTGTGGGCTCTGGGCACTGAACTCAGGTCCTCACGCTCGCACGGCAAGCCTTACTGGCGAAGATATCTCCCCAGGCCTGCCTCCGTTTCTTCATATAGAAAATAAGGGTAATCTTAGAAGCTACCTTGAGATTGTCTGAGGAGGAAGAGGTTTCCTTCTGTCCGGAGGGTGCAGGGTAGGTAGGGCTTGAGCCCCTCAGAGCTGCTCCACCAGTGCCCACCACGACCTGGTTCTTCCAGTGCCTGGTGCCAAAGCATGTAGTACCAGAAGTGAGTAAAAACCGTCAACTATATGGGAACAAAGAAGCTAGGTGCATCAGTGCACACCTGCAATCCCGATGCTTGTTAGGTGGAGGCAGAAGGGTTAGAAGATCAAGGTCATCCTTGGCTACATAGCAAGAAATGTGCGAAGGAAACAGACAGTTCCCCCGCTCCCAATGTGAGCACCACAGAGAAGTCACAGAGTAGAAAACATACAAAACTTGAGCTCCGTGGAAATGTGGTCACATGATGGGCCCACTCAGTGCATCGATGCTCAGTGTTTTACAGCGTGAACCCAAGGCAGACTTAGCCAGCCCCGGGTTCGCTTCTACCTTCACTTTAAAGATGAGGAAACCTAGCACAGAGGTGCAAGGAGTTTTGTCAGATGTCACACAGCTGGGATGACTTGCCTAGAGCTGCGTCAAGATGCCAACCCTTCTCTGCCACTCTTGAAACTGAAGTCTGCTGTCACCTGGAAACAATATCCAGGGAAGATGGGAAAGTTGGGAGGCCGTTCAGGAACTCACAATGGGGAGGGGAGATGAGCTGTCTGGCACCATTATGTTTAGTCGGTCCAGATGGTAGAGAGCCTGTATCCAATACCTGGCCGGGTGGGAACAGGAAGAGGTGCAGACAGACAGGCAAGTTCTCAGCAAGTGGCAGGGGACTCACGGGATGGGGGTGGGGGGCGGGGCGCTCTCACTCCACCCAAAGGGAGGGCCCAGGAAAGGGAAGCCTATGACTTCATCACCAAGCCCACGCCAATGACATCACCAGGAGGGCAAGGAGCCAGGCCCAGCAAGTTATTTATGGAAACGGCTGGCGGCCAGGCATACATCCAGATCCTGAGCTGTTTCAGATGTGGTTGGATAGAGCTTCCAGCTGGCCCAGTGGGGCCGCAGAGCCCGGCAGGCAGGCAGGCAGAGGAGGAAGGAGGAAGGCTGGAGGAATCCAGCAGATGGGGGCAGGGCTCCTTGGAGCTCATGGGGGCTCCGGCAGAGATGTCCAGAGTTCCAGGCTCCTCCCTCTTGGAATCTGCTCATCTCTACCCGTGCTCATCCAGAACTTCCCTGTGGTGCTCCCTCAAGGTCAGATTAGCTGAACTCAGAAAGGACTGAGTATGCATGTGCATTCGTGTGCACCGAGGGCATGTCTGTGCACATGACTGTTACATGGGCTTTCCAGTCCACAGGAAGATACACTCGGCTCTCTCACACATTGGTGCCCTGAGTGGTCCTGAATGAGTACACAGATCTGTGCATCCTTGCACATGTGTGCATGCATGGGGGCTGGGAAGCGGAGTGCACAGAGAGAGAGAGCGGGGAGGAAGAGAAGAGCCACTGGGGAGCAAGATCGCAGCAGGAAGTTGGGAAAATATCATTTCAGCCCGAGATCCAGAGGCACTTATAGAAGCTTCAGCGAAACCAGACAAACCTTCCTTTCAATCCATTTATCAAAACTGCCTGCAGCTCTGCTTCTGAGCAGGTACAACAAGAATAAAATATTGAGCAGAACCGGCGACCGCGGGACTGGAGGAGGCCAATAAATAAGAAGTTACTGAGAAGCCCGCCCTGACCCTGATGGGTTTGCTCTGCCGGTCCCTCCACCCAAATCATCCTGTGATCTTATGGGTGATGGCAGGTGCAAGGATGGCAGGGGCCCGCCCCATTGGCCAGATCTCTGCTGCTTTTGATGAGGTGGGGATACAAGAATAGCCTAACCTACACGGACAAGCTTCGGCGAGGTAGCCGCATAAGCAATACTCTCTTGGGCTTGCTCGCTGCCGTCCTTTCTTCCCTCTAAAACCCCTCAGGATGGGCTGGAGAGATGGCTCCATGGGTCAAGATGCTTGCAGACGAGACTAACTACCCAAGTTCAATCCCCTGGACCCACATAGGAGAAGCGACTTCTGCATGTTGTCCTTTGACCTCCACGTGCAGACTACGACGTGAGTGCTGGCACACACACAAACAAACACATGTAATACAACTTTTTTAATCCTCCAAAAGGGAACCGGACCCATGTGACCTAGAGAGGCCTGGTTGTTCAAGGCAGTCTAGGAGTGAGAATGGGACCAGGTAGCAACCAAGAGGCTTGAACCCAGGCCCTAGGCTACACTAAGACCCTCCACTCCCACTTCCATGTCCTGTTAACTTGGCCCTTTTGGGTGGTAGGTGGAGGGATAGACAAGCAACTGAATGAAGGTCCCTCTTTCAGCTTCCTCCTTTTCAAACCATCTGTCCTGAAGCCCAGAGAGAGAAGCCAGCCATATTGTAAATGTTCTTATATTGGGCCCACAAAATAGAGTGTCTCATTGACTTCTTTCTCCTCCACATCCACAGAATTATAGGACTTGCTTTCTCCTCATCTACATACCCATTGCCCAGGAGATCAGGGACCTGCTCCTGCCACCCCTTGCCTGCTTCCCCACCACCACTGCCACCGCAGCCCCACTAACAACTGAATGGTTGCAGGCTGCATCCCAGTGCTGAGATCCCAAAGGGTAGCAGCGAATGCCTGGGAGGCCCCCACAGGACAATGGCGCTGGGACACTGTTCTCTGAGCTGCCCCCATTGTGATCAGGGTCAGAAGAAAGGTACAGGGCTGCAGCTTTCTAGGTCACCGGGGTGAGCATTCAGTGGAAAACCCGACGACGACGACGACGACGACGACGACGACGACGACGACACGACGAAGGTTAACAAGGGAAGCAGAGGATGCCGGAAGGCTGCTACAGGGATGGACGGGCACCCTGGCTCTGTGGGAGCAGCCGAGGTCATGTCTCGCATCCCTCTGCTTTCTGAAACACAGCCCTGCCTCTCCTAGGATGTTCCTGGGAAGCAGATGCCCTGTCCATGTATTGCTATCAAAGGGTCTCTATTGTGGAAATTAAAGAGGCAATTCCACGTAGTTTATCTGATAGTCAAAAGAGGTTTATTTTGGGTCAACTTACAGCAAGCAAATGGGTCAGTTAAGAGATCCAGGAGAGGTGAGGCACAGTCCAAAGTGGCTCTCTAGAGAACTCCAATTTGGTCTGCAGTCCAGCATCCAGCATCCAGGATCACGAGGTAGCCAAGAGAGAGCAAGCACGTATGCATCTCAGGTCTCGGTCACTCCCTGGGTGGGGGCAGGTACCTAGCAGTTACCTGCTGCCTACTCCGGGTGGTGCTTCAGGTTTCATCTCCAGCAGGCCCTGTGTTCCTTTCCATTCCTGCTCACACTGGGCAGCTTGAATTCTCTGGGTCTTTTTGAAGTGGGATCAGTCAAGAGAATGAGGTCCTCTGGCTCTAATTGCCCCAGCCAAGAGAATGAGGTCCTTTGGATCTAACTGCCCCAGACAAGAGAATGAGGTCCTTTGGATCTAAGTACCCCAGGTAAGAGAATGGGGTCCTTTGGATCTAAGTACCCCAGCCAAGAGAATGAGGTCCTTTGGATCTAACTGCCCCAGCCAAGAGAATGAGGTCTTTTGGATCTAACTGCCCCCGTCCCTTCCTCTGTCTCCCTCCTACTTCCACATCTCCCTCGAAATCAACCACTTATGCACACAAGTGTGGAAGCACATAATGTATATACGAGCGTCTGTGTGGGTCTGTGGCTCATGCGGTGGCTAAAGGTCACAAGCTTGTCTTCTTTGGTTGTTCTCATCTTATTTTTTGAGGCAGGGTCTCTCACTGAATCAGCTAGGCTGGCTGATCAGTGAGATCCCTGAATCCCCTTTCAGTACTGGAGGGACAGACAGACAGTGCACCTGTTTTTATAGACGGATGCTGCAGATCCAAACTCAGGTACTCATGAAGCACTTTAGGGGCTGCACCCTCTCCCCAGCCCCCACCACATTCCTTCAACAAGATGGAAGTGGAACAGTACAGTGAATTTCCCAGCAGCCACCACTCAGGAATTTGAGGGACAGCTCCATCCTGCAATGGCAAATGGAAGAGTGTAATGGGCAAGGACTGGGGGAGCTGCAGTAGAGTTCTAAGGCAATTACCATTTTATTGCATTTCTATAAAGCTGCAAAATGCCATTCCAGGAACTGCTGGCCCCAGTACCCTTCCCTCCCTCCTCTGCAGACCTGCTTTCATAGTGAACGGGCCAAACTCTTCCCCCCGCTCCCCCCTCTGTGTGTGTGTGTGTGTGTGTGTGTGTGTGTGTGTGTGTGTGTGTGTGTGTATGTGGTGGTGGTGGTGATGGGGATCCGGAAGGAAAGTTGCCAGGGCAACCATTCCAGCTCACTCTTTCCCTTGCCTTTGAAAATCTGTGACAAAAGCAGCAGACATTTTTGTTGGAGTACTTGGGTACACTCTCCCAGGATCAAAATGATACAAGACATAGCACCAAGCAGAAAGAGTGGTCCCAGCATCCTCTGCTCCTCAGCAGTTTGCAGTATGAGCTGCTTTAAAGACTTCCAGCCAGGCTCTAGCTAGGCTCCCATAGTAGGGCTGAGAGCCTGCTCCTGCTGTGGGTGGAGGAAAGGCATCACCCTACAGCTTTCTGGGATTTTCTGCATCCTATGACTTTTTTTATTGAAGGAAGCATGTTTCATGTTGGCTCAATATATACTATGGAATAGCTAACATTCCCATTTTCCTTCGGGGAAACTGAGGCAAGGAAAGACTGTGGCTTGGCCAATACCCACAGGTTAGAAAGTGACATATCTGGGACTCAAGCGCAGAACCAAATGACTGTCCAGCCAATTGCTGACATGTCTGTTGGCTTCATTGAGGGAAGTGGTAAACAGGGGCTGCAGAAAGCCAGCCTGAGCAACCAGAGCTTTAAGCGGAGGGTGCAAGGTAGATAACTTAGCTATTCGCCTGGGACTTTGGTGGATTTATGATGAGTGTCCTGTATCCAAGGAACATACCTAGTCTTGATCCAGGGCACACTGAAGTCCTCGGGTCCTCAGGAACTGGTATGTACAGTGGAGAGTACTGGGTAGATACCTTGGGTGGACCCTGAGGAACTGCACACCATGGGTGGTTCAAGGTGGTTTAGGGTGAAATAGGACAGAGAAATAGATCCACTGGTACTTTAGTTTTCTTTGCTGTGTCTGCGATAAAACACTGGCCAAAATCGACTAAGGGGAATGAAGAATTTGTTTCAGCTTACACTTCCAAGTGATTGATGGTCCATCATCAAGGAAAGCCAAGGCAGGGATCTGGAGGCAGGAGCTGAAGCATCATGGGAGAATGCTGCTTACCGGCTTACTCTCCATGGCTTGATCAGCCTGCTTTATTACACAACCTAGGGCCACCTGCTAGGGGATGACACCACCCATAGTGGGCTGGGTCACCCATAGACCCTCCTATGTCAATCATTAATCAAGAAAACACCCCACAGACATACCCATAGGTCAACTTGATGGAGGCAGTCCCTTAAGGGAGGGTCCTTCTTCCAGTTGACCCTTGTTTGTGTCAACTTGACAAAAACCAACCAGCAAATCTGGCAAGCCTCTTCCAGTGGGTTTGCCTAGGTTCTGAGGTTCGCCCACTTGGTCTCTTTGTTCTCCACTGAAACAATGTAGAGTGCCTTCAAATCCTTGACCTGTTTGCACTTGGCTGTAGGTAAGCCTGTGACTCTGCCTCCTGGTATGCCTGATGCCAACCTTAGCCTAGACACTACCCCCATCATCTGACTTCCTGGTGTATGGTGATGTACATCAGCCTCTTGACCCACCTCTGATTCCAACCCTCCATATGTCAGGTTGGAAAAGGGTCACAGAGCAGAGCTGAACCAAACCAGGGAGGTGATGGGGAGACCTAGGCCCTGGTTATGGAGCGTGGGACATCAGAGTCTGGGACAGCAGTGAGGAAATTCGACGAGGTGGGGGGAAGTGAGAAGAAAGGGGGAACGAGGAAGGCAAACTCTTCGGGAAAAAAAAAAGTTCAATCTGATTTGTAAAGGGCACGATTTACAAATCCGTCACATATTTTACTAGGCTGGGATTTACGGATTAGCCTGTAATACTTAGGCGGCTTTTTGTAATAAAACCCTGAGCCGAGGCAGCCTTGGGGAAGTGAGGAGGAGGAAGGAGCTTTCTCTCTCTATCTCACTTTCATTTTCCCAGTATTTTTTGATCTAGGCAGCCCCATTAATCTGTACTTTATCTGCCTATGGAGAAGGATCGAGCTCTTTATTGGATTTTTGTCAAGAATAAATGATTTAGTTTGGGATATTGTGGAAACGATTTTTGTGGTATTACACCATCTAATAAATGAAACAGCAGGGATCAATTCCTTTCTTGCGATGTGTTCAACAGGCAGGGTGAAATATGCCCCACAATTATTTGGTATTGCACTCTATAGATATTTATAACCAAGTGTGACTGCATGGACGCGGCTGCCTCGGCGTGGACCCTGTGATCCATTAGCCCCTAAAGCCACTGGACTTGGGGACTCACGTGACGGCAGCCCAGAGTCAAAAATGCAGATCGAGTTAGTGGGACTAAGTACCTGAGAGAAAGGCACACAGTGAGGCAAAGGGCGGATTGAGAGATGGTGTTTATCAAGGCCAGTGGCGCCGTGTATTTTCTGGAAGGTGGTAGAATAACAGGGAGCTACCTCAGCAAGCCTGGCGGATGCTGGTGTGGAAGGGGCATGGCACCTTCCCATTTCTGAGCACCTGCAATTCTTGCTCCATTCACCCCCTCTCCCTGGACACTGCTTCCAGGGAAATTGCTGGAAGTACTTGGAGGTGGGAGCTGGCTTTCAGCCCAGGGAAAGCTCATAGGTTTATATTCCCAAAAGCTCACAAATATTTATTGAAAGCCTCTTCTATGATGTGCCTAGCAGGAGCCTAGCACAAAGCAAACCATATAGAGATGTTTGCTCACACTGACTGATATACAGGAAGCCTCCAAGATGTAACCTCCTACCCATGGGCATTCACTGTCCTCATCAGCAGAAGCAGGGGCTGGAGAGTGAGCGTAATATGACTAGGGGGACCTGACTGGGATGTGGGGAACCTGCTGAAGTGTGGGACCTTGCTTCTCCATCCTCATCCAGCCCCTAGGGTCCAGAGCTACATGCTTTTTACCCCTCAGAGTCGCATGGACTTTGCTGTTCATCAGGTTTCTATTCTTGGACTGTGTCAAAAGTGGTCCCTTCTTGGGCCAATGAAATGACTCAGTGTATGAAAGCCACACATATCACTTAAAAAGCCAAATGTAGTGGCATGAGTCTGTGAACTCAATGTTCCTACAATGAGACAGGAGGCAGAGAGAGAGAGAAGAGAATTGCCTGGAAACTATTATTCCAGCTAGCCTGGAATATCATCAAATAGGAACCAGAGAGACACTGCCTCAAAATCAAAATGAGGCCCTGAGAGGTGGCCCAAAGGATAATATGTCTTCCATGAAGCTCAGCAACCCGAGTGTAGTTCCTGGGTCCTACATGCCAGAAGGAGAGCACTCACTCTGTAGGTTGTCCTCTGACCTCCACAAGGCTGCCATGGCATTCGTGAGCCCACATTCCCACCCACGCGTCTTACACATCAAAAGACACGCTTTATTTTTAAAGCAAACCCTCATTCTACAAACCGAAACTCACCATTAGAGGAAACACCGCTTGTGCAGCTGCCCTGCTGAGGACTTCTGCGAAGCTGAGGACTCTGTGTGCTGATCTTTGGGTCCAGAAATCAATATTTGTGTCCTAAACACCTGAAGCATCAAGCAACCACGTCCACTGCAGCTCTCTAGCCCAGAGCTTCATGACATTGCTGGCAACAGCCAGTTATTTCCTTGGCAGGCCCGGCCTCCTGGTGCTCACAGTTTATTGGGGGACCCTGAAGCTTCCTCCCCGATACCCATCTTCTCTGGGACTCCCATTTTTGTGCTGTCTGGTATCACCTTCAGGGTCTGATGTCACTGTTAGCATTGACACTGGGCCCCTGCTGGGTAGTCCAATCTGGCCTTGAATTTGTGATCCTCATACCTCATTACCAAAAATCGTGGGGTTTTAGGTATGGTGCACCACACCCAGTTGGGACTTTTTTTTTTTTTAAGTGTATTTATGTGATGTTTCTTCTGTTTAAAACTGGCTCCTCATTTCTGTCCCAACTCTTGCAAAGAAATATGGGTGCTCTGGACTTGCTGTGTGCTAATTCACATCAACACTCCTCATCCTGTCTCCTGATGCCAGCGGCTCAGAGGCTTAACTGAGCGAGCAATTCACATTCAATCATCGGGATGTTTAGGGAGCCAGGAGCAAGATGTGGCTCAGCAATGGAGGAGGTTGGAATGTTGCTGGCCTCTTTGTAGTGCCATACCTCCCCACCAGGGGGCACCCAGGAGATTCTCAGGCACTTCCGGAGGCTGGCTATTCTCTTGTCATCTTGGTCAGTTTTTCCTTTGTTTTGTTGTTTTGTTTTGAGACAAGGTCTCATGTAAACCAGGCTGGCCTTGAAGTCATTATGTAGTCAGAGCATGACCTTGAACTCCTGATCCTCCTGCCTCCTCCTTCCAAGCGCTGAGATTGCAGTAGTGTGCCACCATGCCAGGATTTCCTTAGTAATGCTTCTCTCGGTTAGTTCAGGGGCTGTTTGGGTCAGCTGCTATGAGACACATCAAAGCCATCACTCTCTGAAAGCACACACACACACAGATACACACACACACACACACACACACACACACACACACACACAAAGACACACAGACACACACATACACAATGCCTGAATAGCATACTGGTTACTGACCGTTCCACTGAGATGTCATGCTCAGAGGGAATCACCACACTGTTGGATTACTGGAGAACACCCCAGGGTAAACAGAATGGCCCTTTTGGTTTCTCCTTCAGGCCACATGGCTCTATGCTATCACTGACGCTCCTTTTCCTCCCACACTTTACATTCCTTCCATCAAGAATTCCATAGCCCACCATCATTCTCCTCATTTCTACGACCACCAAACGTGCTGAGCCTCCATCTGATCCTTCTGCCTCCACCTCCCAAGTGCAGGGGTCACTGCTGTACCCCACAACACTCTGCTTCCTTTATTGTATTCTGAAAATCCCTGTGCATATACATGCCTATGCAGCGTGGTCAGCTTTGTTGATTGGACACACACTAGAATCACCTGTAAAGAAAGTCTCAGTAGGGGAGTGTCTACATCAGGTTGGCCAGTGGGTATGTCTTTGAGGGTTTTTTTTTTTCTTCTTCTTTAATTAGGCTAATTTTGGTGCAGAGGCCCATCCCACTGTGGGAGGAACTATTCCCTAAGTTGGGTTGTGGGCTATATAAGAACAGAGAAAGCTATCCCAGCACTACACATACGTGTATTCATTTCTCTCTGCCCCTGCCTTGACCTTCCCTGCTGTGATGGACTGTGACCTGGAGCTACATAAACATTCCCTCCCTCAAGCTGCTTTGTCAGCCATTTTGTCTCAGCCACAGAAATGACACAGGACACCGTGTCTGGGCTGGGCACGGCCCCCTGCCCCGACCTGAAGTTTCTAAGCTCATAATCTGATACGTGGACAATCTGGTAAGTCTAGGCTGATGTAAAAGTGCAGGGTCCCTAGAGCCCAGACTCCCCTCCAGGCTAGGTGTATAAGTTAAATACTAAACAATAGAGACAAATGTTCTGCTTAAACATGGGGTCCTGTTCACGAGATATCTTATGATGAATAGGCAAATATTCCAAACTTAGAAAAAGGTATGAAATATATCAGGTCTCCAGGATTATAGGTAAGGGATGCCAAGCCTGTGAGTGCACAGTTATCCATCCACACTACAGTGAGAGCTCTGGAGACCACAGGCCCAGTGATTAACTCCAGTGACAGTCAGGGACAGCCATACATACATACATAAGGTTTGAATTGGTATGTCTGTATAATTAGAATTTATTGGAGAACATCTTACGTTTTTCTTTTAAAGAGTGTTTAAAAAAAGAAAAAATAAAACTAGGCCAAATAAAAGCATATTGAAAAGCCTTGGGTCTATTTCTTCCCAGTCCTTCAACAAATAGTATGTGGCTGGCCTTAAATACATAATTTTTTTCAAGCTTATTTTACATTGTGAGCAGTTTTCAGGTCATTAAAGACTCCTTGTGTGCACGCACATGCCCATGTATACACACACACACACACACACACACACACACACACACACACACAAAATCTGTGCTGTGAGGGGCATTTTCTATAGACTTGTGGAGGTCAGAGGACAGCCTGCAACTTTTAGAGGTTGGTTTTCTCCTTCTACCCTGTGGGTCCAAAGGATCAAACTCTGGGTATCAGGTTTGGCAGAAAAGTATCTTTACCCACAGACCCATCTCTCAGGTCCTACTAATATATTTTAAATGGCTGTATACTATTCCTTCATGAATACAGCATTACATAGTTGTCCATCTCTCCATCCCCTTCTCTTCCCTGGCCTCCATTAATACATTTGCTACTTGGATAAGAAATAGTGGCTTCTACCCCGGTCAATAAATGTAGATCTGAAGCATTCCTAAGAATATCAAAGTCACAGCCTCATGAATATACAGAGGGTGCAGCTAAGGCAAATCAATATCTCCATGATGTGCCCTTCTGTGTGGAGATGAGGCCTTTTGGGATAAAGTAACCTTTGCTGCATTGCCTCTTGCCACATCATCTTGCTTTGGTCTTCCTGTCTCTTGGCTCCTTTCCTGGAAGGTGCCCTGAACACAGTAGCCTGGCCTTTTGGTTCATACTAAGTAAGTTAAGGAGGAAAATAAGGTTGGGATACTAGCTTAGGTATGTCCCACAAATAGAGTTCCTTCGCCTGTCTGTCCATCCATTTGTACGAGGACACACCCTTTTGTCTACTAAAGATGGCTGTGGGTAGGTCAAGAAATATGTGGGAGCCAGTGGAAGAAAAAAGAAAATCAGGGCCTGGTGGTGGTGGTGGTGGTGGTGGTGGTGGCGGTGGTGGTGGTGGTGGTGGTGGTGTGTGTGTGTGTGCCTGTGCACTCATGCACACAGATACTAGAGGTTGATCTCTCATGTCTTCCTAAGTCACTCTCCACTTTATTTTGGAGACAGGATCTCCCACTGATCTTGAAGCTCCCTGATTTAGCTAGGCTGGCCAATGAGCTCCAGTGCTCCTCCTGTCTCCACCTCAGTGCTTGGTTATAGGTGCATGCCACTGCACCTGAATTTTTATTTTTTATTTTTTTATGTACCGGGGACACAGAATTTACTTCTCCAACCTCTGGCTCCAAGGACTTTTTAAAAAAAAATATTTATTTTTATATGTGTGAGTGTTTTGGCTGCATGCATGTATGTGTAGCACATGTGTGCAGTACCCAAGCAGGCCAGGAGGAGGAGTTAGACCCCCGGGGCTGGAGTTACAAATGGTTGTGAATCCCTGTATGGATGTTGGGAATCAAATTTGGGCTCTTTGGAAGAGCAGCCAGTGCTCTTAACCACTGAGCCATCTCTCCAGCCCCACGTGCTTGAGATTTTCATGAGTTCTGTACATCTGAACTCAGTCCTTCATGCTTATAAAGCATGCACTTTACTCCTGAGCCGTCTCTCCAGCCCCATGGCCTGATCCTTTTAATGGGACTTCTAATACAAACGAAAATGTCCCCCTGCAGCTGTACCAGAAGAGGAGCTGGGGAGGCCAACAGTGGGTGGGAGACACAGGCATCCCCCTAGTGGCATGGCATTTTCTACCTCCTTGGCAGCTGAGAACAGGTATTTCTGGCCACACAGGCAGAGCATTGACCTATTCTGGCTGGCTATCCATATAGCAACAGAGGTAGTTTTAAAATAGCATTCCCCTTTGGAACGAAACCTTTTGTATTGAGCAGAATCTGGGAGAAGAGGTTAATTGAGGGTTTACTTACAATCTTAGGTTTACAAAGAGGGTCAAGTGGAGGCCTTTGGCAGGAGCTGTTTACCTTGAATCTTCAAGTTCTCCACTCTGTAGACTGAGTTGCTGGGGAAGGTAGAACTCTGCCCTGGCTCCATCCTCATGCTCGAGAAACAGGATGCTTGGTCTCAGCTTCAGGGTGTTAGAATCTCTGTGTGTCTGTTGCCCATCCCTTTTATTTCTCTCTACAGGCCCAGGCTGGCTGTATCAGTCTTCCTGGCCCTCCCTCTTGAGTGCTGAGATCACAGATGGACTCTTGAGAACTTTCCTATGAGAAAGGACACATGTGACAAGAGAATAACGTGGCTTGTGTGAGTGAGAGCTCGCCTCCCATATGTGAAGCTCTGGGTTCGGTTCCCAGCACCACCATAACCAAGCATGGTGATGCAGCCCTGTCATTCAGGCACCAGGAGGTGGAGATGGGAAGATCAGAAGTCCAAGGCTATCTTCTACTGTAGAGTGAGTTCCAGGCCAGCCTGGGCTACATGAGACCCTATTTCTCAAAAAAAAAAAAAAAAAAAAAAGAAACAAAATTTGATTGGGCGTCACTGAACAAAAGCACATGAAACCAGTCATTGTCCTGTCAATGATAACATGGGTCTGATTAAGATTCTGTGGCCATAGGGGTCTCAGTCCAGAAGGAAAACAGATGTGACAATCGTTAATCACAGTGGGAGAAGGGCATGTTGCCAATGTTCTTTCACATGTTCATCCATGCATCCATCTGTCCATCCACCCATCTATTTATCCGTCCATCCCCCATCCATCCATCCATTCACCCACCCACCCATCCATCCATTCATCAGCCAACCCACCCACCTACTCACCACCAATTTATTCATTCATCTGTCCATCTATCCACCCACCCATCCGTCTGTCCATTCAGCAAACAACAATTGCATGTTTCATGTCAGGTACCATGGTTCCATCATGAACCCTGGCTGTTTCACTGGCCATCACCCTTGCCATGATGGAGCGTACAGTCTGTTGAGCAATATGGAGAGTGAACAAACATGAGCACAGTACACCTCTGATTTGCACTGTTGACAGAGGCATGTGAGGAGCTGCAGGGGCTGTATGAGTGTGACGTCAGAGAGCATGAGCTTAAAGAAGCCCTCTACTAGAATTCCTCCCCTGCATTTCATCTTGCGGTCCGATGTAACTGTTCCTCCTCCAGCTTCTGACCTTTGACCTCCTGGGCTGCCAATATTCTGGCTGTCCACCTCTGCAGTACAAGCTACTGACTCAACAAATCTAAGGCTGGAAGTGCAGACACCCCACTTTAGATATGGCTCTGTCATGACGGGGTCATATGGTCCTGATTCTCCAGACATACCCTGTTGCCTGCTACTCTGGTGGCCATCCCCACCCATTTCCTCCCATAGCCTTACTCTCCCAGGAAGCAGGCCCACACTGCCTCTAGAAGCAGAACACTAGATGTTAGATCCCACCAGCTCCATCTCATGAACATGTCTTTACCTCTGTGTGGTGTGACATCCATCAGCACCCAGCACCCAGGGTGTTGTGATGCATCAGCAGTGAGCACAAACTGTCCCCGCACATTACCCCCTCCAAAGACACACAACATGAAGGTGGCTGTACCCTGTTTTATGTGGCATTTAGTACCACACCCTTGCTACCCACACTTCCAAATGGGACAAAGTCATTCAAAGGGCCTATTAGACCATAGATACCTGGACCCTTCTAGAAGGCTTGACTGTATTGGTCTAGAGCTGAGCTTGGGAACCAGCCTTCTAGAAAGTTCCCTGAAGATGCTGCTACATCAACTACTTGGATTTGATTGGCAGAGATGTGGAAACCAGCACCTACTTGAGCCCTACCATGTACTGGCCACTGTGTTAGGAAACTTGATCACAGTACAGCCAAGTGGCCTCATTGGTGTGTGTGTGTGTGTGTGTGTGTGTGTGTGTGTGTACACATTTGTGTGTACACATGAGTACGTATGGTATGTATGAGTATGTACACATATGGAGGTCACAGAACAACTGGCTGGAGTGGGTTATCTCTGTCAAGTGGGTTCCAGAAATCAAACGTATCAGGCTGGGAAAAGAGTACTTCAGTGACCCGTCTTCTGGCCCAATGCCTGGTTTTCACATGGATTTGGGGGACTGAAGTTGGCACCTCATGTTTGCAAGGCAAGCTCTGTACATACTGAGCCCATCTTGCTAACCACTCCTCTTCCCTTTTAACAGAAAATCCCCCATGCTGGAAGAAATTGTGTGGCTCCCCTGAAGTCATGTGGCTTGTGGCAGAGGCTGGTCTTGAACTCTGACCTCTGAGATTGCAATTCCAGGCTCTACTTTGACTTGGGGCATGGAAACAGTCCCAGGAGGAAGAGGCCATCAGGAATGACAAGAAAGAGATCTGTCTGTGTGTGATGTTAACTAGACATGACAGACACACACCAGGAGGCCCCAGGGGGACTCAGGGGACAGCACTCAGGACAGTGCCCGGCCACAGCCTCCTGCAGTGTCTCTCTAGGGCTCCCATGAGATGCCCAGATATCAGAAGGGGCAGCTCCCAGTGGTGGAGACACCCAACTGTGCTGCCAGGAGGCCAGCTGGTGCCAATTTGTAGAAGCCATTGCCCACCTAAAGGGACCACTCAGCCATGCATGCTTGACACCTGCTACCATTTTGATAAACAGGACTCAAATGTAAGAGGAGTCAAGAGCACCCCTCCCCAAGTCTAGTTACAGTTCCTGGTGGTGAGTGGATGCATAGGCAGGGATGGGGGGTTGCTTAGGTGTAACTGGGCTCTACTCTTCCTTGCCTTTCTTCTATTTGTAGGGCTCTGGTGCGCTGGCCTGGACCATGGTGAGCTGGGTGACCATGCTCACAAGGAGGGAACTGGGGCATGAGTAGGCCTCAACCTCTTTGCAAGTTTTTACCCCACTTGCCAGTTCTAAAGCCAGGAGCCACCATTGCTGGTTGATAGGCATTCCCCTATGGGATCTGAGCCTCTTCTCTTCCTCACTCTCTTCTCTCCAGCTCTTTCTGCAGATTGGAGATGAAATGTGTTGATAGCCAGTCCTGGAGAAGGGTGAGACCTTCTGTCCTTCCCCGGGGACTTGTGAGTCCCACGTACAATGCAGCAAAGCTGGTGGAGTGAGAGGACTAAAGCCGCCCTGAGCCCAGGGCTCCAGGGGCCAGGTCCTCTCTGAGATTTCAATACCCAGGAGAGGAGATGCTTGACTGCCACTTTAACCAACTAGGGCTGGTTAAAATGCAGACCCTAGTGTGCTGGGGCCTCAATCCCACACTTCCAACACACATGCAGGGTTGCTATATAACCATGAGGAGATACATGCAGGCCACTGATGTTCAAATATGTCTATATGTGAGATTCGTGTTCTACTAGGTCCCTCAGAGAGCCTGGCTGTCTGGTCCCTGCCTTAGGTATCACGTGAATGCAAATAAGGGCGAGTTTGCCTTGCTCAGTGTGAGGACATACAGTCTATGATGGCAGGAAGGACTATGGTACCGCTGGTCTCATAGAGAGGAAGCAGGAAGCGGGGATGTGGAGCTGGGCTAGCAAACATCAAGGCCTGTCCCCACTGACCCACTTACCCCAGCGAGGCTCACCTCCTTAAGATTCCAAGATGTTCTAAACACAGCGCTGCCAGCTGGGGACCAAGCATTCAAACACTTGAGTCTATGGGGGACATTTCATATTCAGACCACATTTGCCAAATGGCAAAACCTGACCACTTGATGTTGGTTAACTTGAAACCTAACATCTGGTCAGAGTGTTGAGAATAAGTGTCTGTGGACCGCTCAGCCATAAATAAAACATCTATATTACACACACACACACACACACACACACACACGTGCATACACACATACACACACATGTGCATACACACACACACACACACACACACACACACACACACACACACGGCTCAGAAGCCATCAAGAAAGAGGGACCAGAAAGACTAAGAGCCAGACGTTGGGGAGGACCAACACAAAACAGTGTACAAGATTAAGCCAGCCAACACTCCAGCAGGGAAGGGGTGGGAGGATGGGGCTCATAAGCTGGGAGCTATTGATGGATAATGGCTTCTAGAGGAGGGAGAGCCAATATTCTTTAGGATGTGGTCCCTAGTAGGTCAACCATGCTCCAGTGAATACATGGGCAGCACAAATTGAGCTCAGTAAGTTATACAATAAAACAGAGAGAGGCCATGAAGACGGGAGGGGATGGATCTGGGAGTAGTTAAGGAGTCAGGGTGAATATGAAAATACATTGTATACATATACAGAATCCTCAAAGAATTAATAAAAGTGTGATATAAATCTCAGACCACTTGACAATTAGGTGAGTAGAGACAACAATGGCTTTGCTCACTGAGACCTCAGTCTGAAGGTCAAAAACACAGAGCAGAAATGAGTCTGGGGTAGGGCATGCTCAACAGTGGGGGTTGACTAACACCAGGGATTTTGTGATTCCAGACAAGATGGGATTTGGAAAAGGATGTTTTCCTCGTGAAAAATCAAGGATTGTCTGGCCCCTGTGAATGGCCCCTCCTCCTTCCTCAGCAAAGATGATGGAGGAGCAAGTTTCATTCCACAGAAGGGCATCCGCCTGTCTCCCACATGGAGACGGGATTGAAATAGCTTTTTCAGATCTTCCAGTTAAGCTGTCACCTTTCCCCCCCCCCCAGCTCTCCAAGGAGTCCCCCCAGCAGCAGTTATCTGGGCTCTGGAAGAACAGCTCTATCTCAGCCGTCTTCAGCTGTCTCTGCCACAATAGAGAGGCTCAGGGCCCCGAAGACAGCACACAGCTTCGGGAAGACAGGCTGAAGTGTGCAGGGTGCAGGCGGGGTCGCGAGACTAGGAAACCCCGCTGGGGCCATCCTTCACTGGTCAGCCCTGCCTAGGGGTCCTGTGGGGTCCAGGGCATGTTAAGGATGCAGCTGTCATGGGGCTGGGGCAGAGAGTGATCACAAGATGACATAGCTAAAAAAAGCTTCACTTTGAGGTGGGAAGGTAAATGCCACTTCTGGGCCAGCACCGCTCCCTGGACTGGGAACGAGATAATGAATTATTACCCAAGGAAATGAAACCTCTAATAAATTCAAAAGCAAAGCTGGGGGAGGCTAAACTCCATTTTTACGAAGGAGCTTGTGATTTATAAAGTGTCCGCTCCCTGGGCCTCCTGGGGCTCCATCAACCCTCCCTGTCCCTCCCTGTCTCCCCTGCAGGGAGGCCTCTGCCCCTTGGGGATGTACAGCCCCCCGACTTCAAAGCCCCCAACTGCCACTTGCCTCTGATGCTCCTTTCACTCTCCCTCGTGTGAACTATTCTCACCCCAGTGGGAATTTAAAACCCGAACACAGCTGAAATTTGGGCCAATTGGTTTCGAGAGCTCAGTCCCCAAGGATTGGCCACTAGGAAATCTGTCTTCCTTAGGAGTCCATTCCGACCTTTGAGCCAACAAATTACGAGTTGAACCAGCTCAGAATAGGCAATCAGGCTCCGGGGTGCAGCGCTGGCTCTGGGCGGGGCGCGGCTCAGGCAGGGGCCGCTAATCCACTTTGTCTGAATCGCAGTCCCAGCCTTCTCCCTGTTTGGGGAAGCTGGCTGGCTACATTTGCCTTCCATGTGTCACCTCTTAATAGCTTTCAGGCTCCATTCTGCAAACACTAGCCCCTCCATCCCTTGCCCAAAGCCATCAGACCCCTGCTGTCCGACCTCATTGCCCGTTTCCGCAGCGACCAGGCTTGTGATGTCATAGGCCTAGGCCGGTGAGTCTTCAGGTGGGAGGGACCACAGCATCAGGTACCCAGGAAGACAGGGGAAACAAAGACCTTGTTTTCCTGCCATCGGCCATAGAATAGTGGAAAATGGGGGTGGGGGTGGCGTGGAGGGATAGAAATGGAGTCTGAGTGGGTCCAAGGTCATTCCACAAACAAGTTGAGTTAACATTGCTGAGCCCGACTATGCAGCCTCCACACTAACTGTCTGAAGAGCTGTCATTTAGAAAGCCACTCAATCCTGGTGGGAAGGATGCCAAAGGGTTCCAGGACCCAGTTTTCCCAGCGGGACTCAACCTGTCAATCCACCTTCTAACAGGAGTGTCCCAAAGCCCCCCAGCCCTCAAGGTCTGACTACATCACCCTTTATGCACCTCTAGGTGGGCCCAGCCATGCCCCCAGATCTAGGGGTCAAAAGGCTCCTTTGGGGTTGACAAAATGCCACCTGGGTTCTGTAATGCCAAGAGACTTCCAGAGCGGGGCTCAGCGGGGACTCAAGGCTGGGCTTTCATCAGAGGACGGAACACCTCCCCACACTCTGGTTCCACTAGGTGATGCCTGGTGTTTTTTTTGTTTTTTTTTTTTTTTTTTTTTTTTTTTTTAATATCTGACTCAAAGAGGAAAACACAGTCTCCATTTAGAAACAGAGGCGCTGGCAGGCTTTCCCCAGTGTGCAAGCCCCACCGCACTGAGTTTCTGGTAATTTACCTGCGGCCTGAATTATTTAGATGGATTGAGCTCACGTGGACTTCAGGTGTCCCAATTACCTGGGTGATTTGCATGTTTACGAGTGAGGGGGTTTGAGCGCTAGCTCAAAGCAGATTCCAAATTCAGACTTTGGAATGGAAGCCCTTGAGGTCCTGGCCCCCGCCCCTTTCTACCCCACCTGCAAGAGGAGAGTCACAAAGAGCAACCCTGCAGTGAGCAGGCCAGGAACCCATCTCCTAACCAGAGCAGGAGGCGTCACCGGGGCTTGGCCAACCTCGGTTTCTCCTTCTAGTCATGCCGGCAAAGCAAAGGTAAAGATGGCTCCATGGAGAGAAGGGAGAAAAAAAGCTCAAATTGATCATATTGATTGCCCAAACGGAAGGAAAGGAGGCAAAGAGGGTTCCTGCAGACCTGCCAGGAGGCAAAGAGTTAATCCTCTAATCTAGTCTGCTGGGAGCAAGGCGAGGGCTGAAGCTATTTTCAACCCGGAGTGTGCATACAGAATGCTTGATGCTGGCAATGGTTGCACTGGAAAGCCTGAGAACATTTGCGAGTGTTCATGGCCAGAACTCCCCGGGTGCATAGATCTGCCTCTTGCCAAGATGGCACTCCAAAGGTCACAGGGGCTCCCCCTTATTTTCAGTTAAAGCATCCCCCTCACCCCCCACCACACACACCATGTACTTCTCTGTGTCCCTCTCTCCCTCCCTCTCCCTGATCACAGTTCCTACTGGGCTTCATGCAGCACCTGCAAATTCATGATGACCTTTTCAGAGCTGGACCAATTACACTCAAATAAAATGGCTTAAGCACCGGAGAGACGCATGTTTAAATTGTTGTGGTCGAGTGAGTAATCGCCAGCCTTGGGTAAGTGCCAGCACCCGGCCTCTCACTGTTTTCACCTAGAGAAGGCTTCAAACTGTTGGTGCCTGAGCCACGCTCCCCAGAGAGTGTGATTTAGTTGGGATTGGAGGCGATGGAATTTATATTTTTGATGTTCTCTCCAGGGGAGGGCTGGTGTGATGGCCTGGGGGGGGGGTGGGTAAATGCTTGCTGCACAGCGTGAGGACCTGAGCTGGGACCCCCAGTACTGGTGTTAAAAAAGCAAGTGTGGCAATATTCCTAGGGCATGGTGGGGAGGGGGAGGATCCCTGGGGCGTGCTGGCCAGCTAGCCTAGCCAATTTGCAAGCTCTAGGTTTAGTGAGAGACCCTGTCTCAAAAACTAAAGTGGAGAACAGAGAAATTAAGGAAGACACCCAGTGTGGCCTCCCCACACGTGCACACCCACCCATGCACACCCCCTGACACACAGATACACACACACACACACACACACACACACACACACACACACACACACACACGAAGAGGGGCACAGCTTCCACAGATGATTTAACCATTCACAAAAATCTCGATTTAAAAGTTTCGAAGCACTTATCAGGTAAGTCTTCGCACCAAAACTGATCAGGTTTGATATGCTGCTAATGGGATCAAGACACACATTCTGTCTGCCAAGTAGGGCCACCACCTTGAAACAAAACAGCCTTGCGAAATTTTCACATGGGTATGATGGCAACTGGTCCTAACGAGAGTCGGTCTGTGCAAGGGTAGCTTGTAGCACATCCAGTCTTTTGTGTTCATGGAGGGTATGTGCTATGCACACACGCACACAGGCTCGCATAGAGAGGCCACAGGGTGTGAGCTGTCCTGCCCGAGCACACTCCACCTTATTCCCTTGAGCCAGAACCTCTCACCGAGTCAGGGCTAAGCTGACAGGCGCCAACAAACTCCATCTATCCTCCTGTCCCTGCCTCCCTCCCAGTGTTGAGAGCACTGGTGCACATGCCACCAGGCCCAGTTTTTACATGGGTACTGGGGATTTGAACTCAGTTCCTCATGCTTGCACAGCAATCACCCTTATCCACAGAGCCACCTCTAGTCCCCAAAGTCTTTGCTAGACTGCTGTGTAGTTGAAGGAGGTTGTGGTGGGGAGTAGTGGCTATTTCTTAAATGTCTATATGCTTGGAAGACTGTGTGGTTTGAATGAGAAATGCCAACCCCCCCCCCCCCCCGACCACAGGGTCAAGTTGTAGCTGGAGTTATCTCCAGTCCCGCATGGGCCTGCAGCCACTCAGACCCAAATAAACACACACAGGCTAATAGCATTTAAAACTGTGGCCTTTAGCTCAGGCCTACCACTGACTAGCTCTTACACTTAAACTCAGCCCATTTCTGTTATGTTGCCACATGTGGCTTTACCTGTGTGCCTGTTACATGCTGCTCCCTGGATGGTGGGCTGGCATCTCCTAACTCAGCCTTCCACTTCCTAGAATTCTCTCTCTTTGTCCCACCTATACTTCCTGCCTGGCTACTGGCCAGTCAGCATTTTATTTATCAATCAATCATAGCAACACATTCACAGCATACAGATATCCACAGCATCAAGTATTTGAACCTGGTTCCCAGTTGTTGGCACTGTGGGCGGTTTGAGTGAGAAATGTCCCCCACAGGATTCAGTATTTGAAAACTTGGTCCCCAGATGGGGGGGGGGGGGGGGGGAGGTTTAGGAGGTGCAGCAGCCTTTCTAGGAGGAAGTGCGGCACTGGGAAATAGGCTTTGAGGTTATATAGCCCTGCCCTGTTTATACTTGGTCTCTGCTTCATGATTGTGGTTGAGGATGTGAGGTCTCAGCTTCATGTCCTTGCTACCCAGCCTCCCTGCCATGATGAACTCTGGAACCTTAAGCTAAAATAAACCCTTCTACAAGTTGCTTTGATCGTGGTGTTTTATCCCATCAACAGGAAAGTAAGCTGAAATTTTATTTATTCTCTCCGGCCATATGCCATCAGGGTATTATCTACTCAATTTTTAGATGGGGTAACTAAGACTTGAACAGGACAAGTACCTCATTTCAATTTACAAAGCTCTTGAGTGGTGAGGGACTGTTTCCCACCAGTTTCATATTTCTTTAAAAAACATCTTTGGGGAAACTTTTATTTATTTATTGTGTGCATGTTTGTGTGTATGTATTTGTATACATGTGTGTCGCAGCATGTGGAGGTCAGAGGACAACTTTATGGAGCCAGTTTCCTCTTTCTGCCATGTAGGTTCTAGGGACAGAACTCAGGCCATCAGGTTTGGTGGCAAGCACCTTTACCCACTGAGCCATCTGGCTGGCCTGAGACTGATATTTCTATGTTTCCTGCAAGCAGAGTCCCTTTATTCTGAACTCTGTAGGACTTTGCATGGTAAACAGCTTTGGGAGAGATACTGTTGCCCTCTGAACAGAGAGTGGGCAGACTCACTTGTCTGTGATGAAAGACAGAGCCCCTAGGCTCAAGGTTCCGCTTTTGTCCCATTGTGTGCACAGGTACTACCAGGCTTTCTTTGTACAGTCTGTGGGAACTGTGGCTGGAGGGACAGGTGCACAGGCAACACCATCTGGATACCACGATGGGGGCGGTAAACTCTCCTTTGTCCTGAGCCTCAAGTGTCTTGTTTCCTGCCAGTGTCTGACACAGCTGGATCTCAGCTGCCTTGTGGGCTTAGGAATAGGAACTCATACCCTGCCAGGGTCCTGGTGATGAGTTTGGGTCTGGTGTCTTGATCCTTTTCTTCTAAGCCTGTGTATTCGGGAGCTGGAGAAGCAGGCGAGGAGACAGCACATATGGCGGAGTCCAGACCCTCTGTCAGCTCTGCTTTGCCACTCCATAGATGACGGCACTGACGAGTTCCTGTCTCCTTTCTGTGAGACAAATAAACAGACTGACTGTACAAGAGTTAGAGAGAGAGAGAGAGAGAGAGAGAGAGAGAGAGATAGAAGCCGTGGGTCTAAGGGGATGCCCGTTAGCTTCAAAGCTTGGCAATGGCCCCCCTTTACTTTCCCTGGATCCTGCAGAAGGGCCTCTGGGTGAGGATAGGCAAAGCTGACACAGCCTTGCCTTGTCAGCCTGAGTGCACCCACGCTGGGGGTGTCAGGACAGGAGCATACCCCGCTTTGCCCACTTACTTTTCAAATGAGAGATTTCACTTCTGGTGTGAATTCAGGTGGCCTGTGTGACCCTTGGAGTGGGATCATTTCTCTTTAAAATTTGGACATTTTTAGAAGCTAGATGATCAGGGCGGGAGACCAGCTCAGTGGGTAAAGAGCTCACTGTGGAAGCACGAGGACCTGAGTTCAGATCCCCAGCACCCACTAGAAGGGTGAGGCATGTGGATATGTATACACCTACAATCCCACCTCTGAGAGGTGAAGACAGGTGGATCGCCAGGGCTTTCTGGTGGGTGGTTTACCCAGGAGTAGAGCTCCAGGTTCAGGGAGAGACCATCAGGAAAACTAAGATGAACAATGATAGGGCAAGACGCCTGATGTCTACCTCTGCTTTCCACACACACAGGCAAGATGAGCATACCCACTCACGTGCACACAAATGTGTATGCACAAATGGATGACCATGGGCCAGGCCTCTCAGGATCTTCAAAAGTTAGTTTTAGCAACCTTCTTTTTTAATTTTTATTTTATTTAATTATGTGTATGTATGTGGATTTGTGCACATGAGTGCAGGTGCCCAAGGAGGCCAGAAGAGGGCATCAGATCCTTTGGAGCTGGAGTTACAGGCTGCCTGGAGTGGGTGCTGAGAACCGAACTCAGGTCCTCTGCAAGAGCCAAACCTGCACTTAACCACGGAGCCACCTCTCCACCCTTACCACTACTCCTAAGCCAACCGAGGTCCCAGGTAAGCCTCATTGGGAGAGGGAGGCTTGCTTCGCCTCTAATTACCCTCCCAGCGAATAAATGAGCATCTCATATGCAATGGTGATTTCTAGTAGCAGGTTCTGTGTAATTTTCAGCTGTTAATTATCATTATTAAGAATTATTAAAAGTAAGGACCCGGAATGTTCCAGGAACGTTTCAATTGCTTTCTAGAGTCATTTGGAGCCTATTCAATAATCTTAGAGTGAAAGGACTATTACCTCAAGAAGCTGATGCTTCAGGGGGGTGAATGTCTTGTCGTTGGGGCCAGGAAGTAGCAGAGGTGGGAATCCACATCACAGCTGTGTGACTCAGAGCTGAGAGTTTTGTTCTTTTTTGTTTGTTTGTTTGTTTGATTTTTGTTTGGGTTTCTCTGTGTAGTTTTGGTGCCTGTCCTGGAACTCACTCTGTAGACCAGGCTGGCCTCAAACTCACAGAGATCCGCCTACCTCTGCCTCCTGAGTGCTGGGATTAAAAATGTGCACCACTACTGCCTGGCCGAGAGTTTCATTCTTTATGACTTATATTATTTTCAATTATGTGCATGTGTGTGTATTTGTGTGTGTGTGTGGGGGGGTATGTTCATATGAGTGCAGGTGCCTGTGGAGACCAGAAGAGGGCATCAGGTCCCCTGAAGGTAGAGTTTCACTGAATCTCCTGGAGCTAGAGTTGTAGGCGATTCTTAACCACCTTATGTGGATGCTTCAAACTGCAATAGGTACTCTTAACTCCTGAGCCATCTCCTTAGCCCCCAAACTGAGATCTTCTGTATCCAGCTGCCTCTTTTTACTTTGAGATATTTTTGAGACAGGGTCTTACATAACCTGAGCTGGCCTCAGATTTCCTATGTAGCTGAGGATAACCCTGACTTCCTGATTCTCTTGTCTCAACTCCCAAATCCTGGGATAACAGTCATACACATCTACCTCTTTTTTGTTTGTTTGTTTGTTTTAAAGAAATTGTTATTTTTATTTATGTGTGTGTGCATGCAATGTGTGTTCAGGTGAGGTCAGAAGAGGGTGTCATAGCTTCTGGAGCTGGAGTTATAGGTGTTTGTGAGCCAAATGATGTTGATGCTAGAAACCAAATTCAGACCTTCTGGAAGAGCAGCAA